CTATCCTGTCTGTGACTATGAATTGTTACGCTACTACTTAAATTATTATAAACGATTTGTAACTTAGTAATATCATATAATTAATAACTATGCAAGATTTGTTTTCAAATGGTTTATAATGATCAAGTAAATTATGCTAAAACATATTTCAAAAATACTAGGAAGCAATTTTCTTTTATGCTACAGTTTTTGTACAGTTAAATTAAATTTTGCAATGTCTAGTTTATTAACTGTGTAAGAAACGAGGTGTAACACGTTTTGACTGTACTTATTAGTTTATATAATGCTTTTAGAAATATAGATTGTATCACATGAGACTGTTCTACACATTTGTATACATTTCGTCTTTTCTGTTGCACAACAATTTGAAATATATTTAATATATGCTTCATATTATTTTGTATTTTCATTTATAAACATTGGAATTGCCATTATGATAGAAAATTTATAGCATTCGTTGCATAAGCTGCGGTGTCCGAGTGGTTAAGGAGTTGGACTCGAAATCCAATGGGTTTTTCCCGCATAGGTTCGAATCCTGTCCGCAGCGATTCTTTTTTTCTCTTAATTACGTTTTTTTATTCATGAAGTCTTATTTTCGCATGGAACACGTGATCTTTGTTCAATTTCATTTAGAAATGTTTTAATATCGTATTAATAAAACTTTAAATTACAGTAGTAAGGATTAGTTTAACTTTGAAAATGTTTGATTTAAAAAATTTTCATTCTCTAAATTTTTATATTTATTAAAAATAATAGAACTAGTTACGAAATTCTTGAAAGAATATTTGCATGCGATATGACATAATGATTTTCAGTAAAGTAATCGTTTTAATGAAACATGATGTTCCTTTTATCATACTTTTTAAGAAAATAAACGAATGAAACGTAGTACAGTTATTTTTTAAATAAATATCCATGACAATTAAATATAGAATATTTTATTTTAAGTGAAAGTTTCAATATGACTCCATACATATTTCATGACTTCGAATAATTTTGTTGTTAGTTAAATATTATAACATATCGCTGTTTGTCAGTTTACCTTCTGCTTAATTTATTCAAAGATGTAACCCATATTTCAAAAGATTAATTCTTTTGTATAACAAAGATTTTTAAAGTAATTAAATTTATTGCTCGTTCTCTGAAAATTCATAAAATAAATACAAAAAAAAAAAAATAAGTGGGTGGACAAACCTTTATGGGCGGTAGTGTATGAATTATTTAACAGTTATAAAAAGAATATGATAAATTTTGATGAAATGGTACTATTTACATTTTCAACTAACTAATTTAATTTTGAGCACTGACAATTTTATCACCCAGATAGCTCACACGGTTTTAGAAATGTCCATTTTACATCCATTTTTAATATCAACGTTTTACGAACTGATCCGTTTATACGTTTTGAAGACGTACGAATTGGTACGTTCTAAAACGTAAATATAAACGTCACGTCTTTAAGACATTTTTAAAGCTGCAACCAGTCGCCAGCGCGCAGTGCTTCGCAGCGCCACGCTGCACCGCGTAGGGTAAACAGTAACTTAGGATATGGATTATAAGTGACTCATAATTCTTGTATAATATGTATGATACAATGTGTCTGCACAATATAAAGATATTTTAATATAAATATTGTATAAGTATAGCTTTTCAATAGTTGCAAGCAAACATAATGTGGTAGACGATATTTAGAATGCATTGGAAATTAGAAATTTATATTAAGTGTGATTTTATTTCGAAAATTATTTACTTTTCATATAGAAAAAAGTGTATCAATAGCAACTAAGGTATATTAAACTTAACCGGTACCAATAAATGTTTTAATGACATATTTCAAAGAGCTACATCTGACCTAACCTAGACTTAACGAACACGTTTTAAAGACATCTTTGATATGTAATATTAAATGTCGTTCAGATGTCTTTTGGACGACTTTAGGCTTTTACTAGACGTTTTTAAGACGTTCACAGGACGTCTGTGTGCTATCTGGGCACTATTTGTCAGAACCCTTGCCTTACATTTTTTTTAACAATTATGTATGAATGTTAGTTTCGACTATTCACTGTTTTAATACAATGTTAAATAAAAAATAAGTCAAAATATTATATAGAATTTCTATTTGGTAGTCGTCAGTCTCAAATTAAAGCTAGATTTAGAACAAAAATACAAATTTAATAGAAATACAATTCTTCTTTTGTCACATGATGGCCATAATCTGTAACATGAGTGTGACTCGTCATTATAAGGCAAAGGGTTAAAGGGATGTAATTAAGTCTAAAATTAAATTTACAGTGTTCTTCACATTATTTCCATTTTTTTTTTTAAATGTCTAGAGTAGTTTTAGAATAAACAAGCCACTTAAGACTAGGCACAGAGTTTTTCCAGGTCAGCTTCGCGCGGATAGCGTACAGAAATCGGGCAGGAAGACGCGTTCTCACTTTTTATGAGACCACTGGATGGTAACCGACGCTTACGTAACGCAACTATATTCCTACATATACAGGGTGTCTGTTTTATCTCAATACAGTGAAATATCTTTTAAAGAAGTGATGTTACGAAAAAAATGTTTTAACAAAAGTTGTTTGGTGTGGAGGGGGACGTTATGTGGTGTAAATATTTTTTTTGTACCTGGTATGATGGGGGAGATTTCAAAGTCAGTTTAATTTTTTTAAATGGAATGCTATATTTTTTTTATATATAATATGATAGTGTATGTTAAGACGAGTTCAACGAGTTGCCAACAAAGTGATTTCCTTTCATGGAAGGTCGTAAAATTGGGAAAAACCGGGAGTCGGATCACCACACGTTCCTCACTATCGCGTCGGCCCGCTAAGCCTATTTGACCTTGTATGCAACTGAACGAAAACAGACACGACTATTTTACGAGGATGAGAGGAAATGACTTTGTTCGCACCTCGTTGGACTCGCCATAACATACACTATTATATTATGTATAAAAAAATATAGCATTCCATTTAAAAAAATTAAATTGACTATGAAATCTCTTCCATCATACCAGGAACAAAAAAAATATTCACACCACATAACGTCTCCCTCTATACCAAACAACTTTTGTTAAAACATTTTTTTTCGTAACATCACTTTCTTAAAAGATATTCCACTGTATTGAGATAAAACAGACATCCTATATAGATATAGTAAATAGAGTATGTTTCACGAAAGTTAGCAACGTCTAAGAAATTTTACGCCTATCCTAGTTTTAGCTTGGAGTGTTTCTTACAATTCTTTTATACAATAGAAACTAAAATTGTTTTATTTACAAATTAGATATTGTATTTGAAATGTATGTATAAATGTATGTATTCGTTTAGGCACCGCGAATGATTGTTAATATAACAGATTCCTTCCTTGGAAGCAAAGTGATCCAATAACAGAGTAATTTATATATGCGACAAGTCGTTTCGCTCCTCGGAACTATCCATATAACTAGATGCTCAGTATTCAGTATACGTTTCGAAAGTGTGAAGTACATACTGTATGAAAAATTTCCGATTAAACATATTAGATCAATAAATTCGGAATATTGCACGTGTATAGGGTCAGTCAACGAATTGAAAATTATTGTAATATTTTAACACTAGAACAACCGGAGTTGAATGTAATATTTTTTACCCCCCGGCATATTAAAGTATAGTACATAAAGAATTTCTAAATTGGAATTATTAATGCAAAATAAATTGGGATATATAATTATTTCTTTATTTCAACAAAAGTTACTATATACTTAGACCAGTATTTTAGTAATTTTAATAATTTTAATAATTTCTGTAATTTAAAGTAAAAAATTTGAAATCCGTCATTTTGACGTGTTTTGATGTTCTAGTGTTAATTGTAGACTTACTGTCAAACGAGAGGTATTCTGGCACCCCGCAGGGGAGGAGCTTGGACCCGATCCAGGGGCGGACCAGGTTGAATGGTCCGCCCACCTGGGGGTGACGGAGGAGGAGCTCGCCGGGACGGTGAAGCCTTAGGGCTCGGGGAAATAAGGCCGCGGCAGGGCCTTGGTCTTGGCCCTTAGCGTCTTTGAGAGAATTATAGCTTCCCGCCTCTCCATCCACCTGTCGCGGGAGGGTCCCGATTTGGCCGAGTGCCAATTTTGATTTAGACGGGGTTGCTCCACGGTGGATGCAATTCGTCGTGTGAGGGCTCTGTCGGACTCAGCCACCTCCGGAGGGGGGGTTGCACTGGCGGTGTCTTTGGACATCGCCAACGGGTTCAACTCTCTCCCCTGGGGGACCATAAGGGCGGCGTTCACAGACAAAGAAGCGCCGCCCTACCTGAGGAGGATAATCGGGGTCTACTTGAGCGACAGGTGGGTTGAGTTCACGGGCCGGACCGGCGGATTTCGCCAAAGGGAGATGAGTCACGGCGTCCTACAGGAGTCCGTTTTGGGCCCCTTGCTGTGGGACGTCGGCTATGACTCAGCTCTGTGAGCAGATCATGCTATAGAAGGAGGTCGCCGAAAGAGAGAGGGAGAGATTGGATCCCTTTCGGAGGACCGGCCTAACCCCTCCGCCGGGCCCTCCGGATAAGAAGTGGGGGAGGAGTTACTCCTCCCCACGGCCGAGTCGCCGAAATGCCCCGGTCCGGGTATCTGGGGCCGCGAGACGCCTCCTGCAGGCGGTCCCCAGGGAAGGGACGGTGCCGGGTGTGGAATCATTTGCAAACCGAAAATTAAAATATATATATGTAGGTATAAAAATTTACTTGTACAAAGCTGGGGCTTCAGCACAATTCACATTGTACCACCAATCGTCTTGTTGAAGATTTCCTCCACATAAAAGAAAAAAAAGGATACTTTATTATACACACTGACCATCTATTTAAAACACTGATAAATTATTATGTTTACTAATATTTTAATGAAAATACTGACCGTTTATTTAAAATATTGATTACAAATTTGTTAAAATACTATCTCAATAAGTATCAGCCATCTAAATAATGCAAAAGAAACAACAGGACAGAATAAAGCCTCCCTTTTACTAATAATAGTTTGTTTATTTAATTAATTTATCGAATCGGAAATTTTTATTAAATGAGCGTGACGGAAAGATGAATCGCATATAGTTAATATTATTTTGTTATTTTAATTTGAAACATAAAACAACATTCTTGCTCTTGTTCGTTCCAGATTTTCCACTTAAGATCGTACGTTCTCTGAAACAGGAGAAGGAAATATAAATTAGTATCTTTTCCTCTACTACTTGTCGCAGTATTACATCTGACGCTAGCTGTGAACTAAAAAATATTATAAATTCTCATTTCACCAATAAATATTACAAACTTTTGTTAAAAATAATTTTAAAAGTAATTTCTTTTTTATTATTGTAAACATATATGGTGTTTATTCAAAATCTATATCACTAAAGTTATTTTACTGATTGATCTATTAATTTAACTTTATGAAATAGTGTATGCATTTTTGTCATTTATAAAATAAAGTAGATATTATACGTTTTAATAAACTATAGCATAGAATCGAGAAAAAAAGAAGGAAATAAACGTACAATATTTAATTTGTTGGTCTCTAATTTATAAATGTCTTGACATTTTATTTAATTAAAACTACAGTTACTAAAATAGTGAAATTTGACAGACAAAAATACGTTTCGAAAATTGTTTTAGAAAGATGATTATACTTAATAACTGTTAAAATATTTATTAAAATAGATTGCACGATGGAGTAAAAATTTCGAAATCCTCAAATCTTAAAGTTTCCTAATTTCAGAAATTTTAACAAATTAAAAAGAATAGTGTAAATACGTTTTCAAATATTTTTGCAAAGCTATCCACTTGTTCTGAAGAAATAATGATTATAGTAACTTTGTGAGTTACTCATTGAAACAGTGTTTGAAATTTAATTTGTTCAAAAGTAACTAATTAACAATTATTATTATTAATTAACAATTATTATTAAATGAATGGTGTAAATTTAAATATTTTGTACTTACAACGGGATATTTTTTCAAAATTGGTATTTGTACATGGTATGTATTCCTTTGTCCTGCCTCAATTGGACACGAAGTTGCTAAACAAGCATTGGGATCCATTCCCAAAAATGGTATGTCCATTACCTGACTCGCCCAGAAAATTCTACCTTGCATTTTCTCCGATGAAAATGCTGAAAATACATTTCACCTCGTTTTTGAATCATTATTACATACATGACAAATTTTAAATATACAGTAGACTCCCTCTAATCCGGCCAATAGTTTATGTAGAAATAGATTGTGATTTTTCTATAGCAGTAATAGACTTCGACATAAGACAATCGACAACTGTAGCACATCAAACTCATCGCCAGCCATATCGAAGCTCATTATTGATTTCTTTGTATAAATAAATGTTCAATACACATTACAGTAGACTCCCGTATAACCCGAGTTCTTATAACGCGCCAAAGATATCGCGACTACTATTTTCATATATGTAACGCGATTTCTCGTACAACGCGTATATTTATATGTCCCTTGTTTAAAAAAAAACTTGTTGTATTTGATAAAACATAGAAAATGAAAGTTGGTATGGCAATAATCATTTCAAACATGTTACTTTAGATTATTCGCGTTATACGAGAAAAATTCTTGCACTGCACGATTTCCTATAACGCGAATTGATACAACGTGTAACGTATTAACCCCTTAACCTATAACAACGTGTCAGACTCGTGGCAGAGATTCTGGTGAAGATGTGCGAAAAATAGTTATATTAGTAAGAAAAATTAATTCTAATCCTAACTTTCGTTTTAATTTGTAAGACTGAGGATTATTAAATGTAACTAATCTGTAACAGATTAGTTTTTGTTACCTGATACAGTACTAAAATATTAAATGGCCGGCGCTTAGATGCACAGTCGGAAAAGAAATCATACGTTAAGGGGTTAACCGCGTTTTTAAATTATA